AAAGGAAAAAGTTGTTTAAAATCACCTCAAGAACCCCCCATTAAAATATGTACCACTAGTCCCGGGACACCCTGTATATAAGTATATACATGTGTATATATATAGGTCAATATATATAGCATATTCATAGATATATGTAGATATATGTAGCATATATGTATATACATAGCGTATATATAGATATATATAGCATATACATACATATACATACATATATGTAGTATATATGTACATACACAACATATATGTAGACATATACAGCATATATGTACATTGATATGTATAGCATATGTTCGTTAGAGCGTTAGAAATCAAATTGCATTTTACCGCCCTAGGGCGGGAAAATTCTATTTTCGGTCCACTTTATAGGCGCCGAAAATGGTCTTTTTCAGCCACGTATTATGAAAAGTACTATTCTGTACTCGTCCTAATTGTTACATTGATCATAATATTAAATTCATAATTTCGAATAATAGAATTATAAGCAATTTTAAGTGCTTTATCGTATTCTTATAGATTTTAAGTAGGGGGTTGAACGGTGGAACAGTCCTGCAGGCGCTCCCCATCAACTAACGAAGGGCAAGTGTGACTAGAGCAGTCCTGTAGGCGCTCCGGATCTAATAAATGGAAAAGGATATGAACACAGTAAGAATACTTATTGGACAATAGAGTAATTCAATAAAATTAAATCTTCTAAATCATATATCAATTATATTAGATCAATACGCAGTCAGGACGAGTCGGCAAAAGACGACCTAACAGAAGAAAACGTCGAGCCGGTCTAAGGGAAAAGGCTAAAAGAAATAGAAGTAAAATCCTAAATGAAATACGGGAACAGCTACAATATTTACATGAGCATAGAGCTCCTAGCCACCCTGAGAGGCCGTGTTATTCACCTATGTCTCAAGCGTCAACTTTAATAGTACCGAACAACCAAGAAGAAGATACTGAAATTCAAATCATAGATACCGATACCGCAATTACGATTAACAATCATAACGAATTTCCAAACGAATTGTTAGTAAGATGTATTCATGATTACAAAACATATATGCAAAACATTGACAAAAGCGAATGAATCTATTTCCTGGTGCGTTAATAAAGGATAATAAATAAAGGTCAATATTTTATAGTAAATATTTGTCCAAATCATTCATTTAAAAAGCCCTTTACACAATTCAATTCTAAGCACCTGCTCGGGACGTGTACGCGTCTACCAGGTGCCTCCACGAATTGGCGAACCCACATTTCCATCGGACGATCTGCAAAAAATAGAGAAATTACAATTTGAGTCGACATAACCTAATTTAACTAGTTTCGATAAAATAATAATAGTAGCATATCTGAGTGACCCTCGAGCTGTTCCGAGGCGTACAGGTTCGTCGTCCGGTTCTCCATTTAACCTCTCTCATCGTGACGTTTCCTCCTCCAGGACGTCACACTGTATTTCAATTTTTGCAAGTAAAAACCTAAATTGACTGTACTACAAGGAAACACGTGCATCCCAAATGTCTCGTGTTTTACGCGCAAATCGCGCGTCGATTTTTCCTCGTTCTCATCGAGACCCGAGAGTACAAGCCGAGAGAGAGAGAGAGAGTTATTTCCGACGGCTTAAGGACCTTTCCCACTGTCCGCCGGTACGCCCCCCAGGGGCTACAGCAATGGGTTCGACCCGGTTGTAGTACGGGCCTTGCGAATCCGGGGTGCCTGAGCCATGCTCATACCGTAATAGTCCAAGAAAAATAGGTCTGAAATCGACACTTTTAGCCGAGTGACTGAATTTTTGATATATGCTATGTTTGAACCTTAGAAACAAATGTGCAAAGCCAAAAAGTTTTTGCATCAGGGGGTCGTGCCGCAAACAACCCCTCGGGGGTGTTTCTGGCTTATAAATCGAAAACGGTTATAGATATCGAAAAACATTTCAAATAAAAGTTGTGCAGCGCGAAATTTTGCATAAGGATGATCCACTACATTTTCCCTTTCGATGAAATTTAACCCTTCTAGAGGGGTTCAAAAGTTGAAATTTAGAAATACCGCTATTATATTGATCGTGATCGGAATTCGATCATACGATCTAATAGCGAAGGAATTACGTAATCGCGCGAGACAATTTGATTTCAAGGAAAAGGACGGACTGTTCCATCATTTGCGCAGTCGCGAATAATCGTGGTCGCACGATTGTGATTGCCGATGGATTATTATTCCCGAGTTAACCGGCGAAGAGTGTGCTCCCCTTCGCAGAAATTTTGATAACATTCAATACGTCTGGAGACGGAATTTATCTGCAAAGCGTTCGAATTACTCTAAGGAGTTAATTTAAGACAGAGGTACTCTCAGTCTTAAATATTGTTGAGAGCAGCGAGTCTGAGCTTTTCAGTCCGCTGTACGGCCGATTGTAGAAATTACAATCTGCATCGGCGTACAGTCGAGTTCGACGTACTCGCCTCTCGCAATTGAACGGTTTGAGTTCAGTGCGATCGAGTTAGGGGGCTTTTATTGAGACTAAGACCTTGAGTGTCTACTCTCTTTGTCTTTTGGCGGTAAAAGTTCCTGTTTGAGACGGCATCGTCCCAATTTTACTGGAATTAATTTACGCCCAACTCCACAACGCGTTCCCGACTCCCGGTATCCGTCACTAAATAGGCGTTTACCTATAGCATTTATAGGCTGTAGCATTTTTAAGCAAGTCCGGAACGACGGTTTGGAACGACGTGCTCGTCGCAAACTCGTCCGCGTTCTTCAACGGGTTTCGAGGACAGGTGAATCGAGCCCAACGTTGAGACAGTTTCCGAAAGGAAGCTCATCGTTTGAGCAGCATTGAGGCTGCAGTCGGTCATTTCCCTGAAGGACAGGGACCGGCGTCGAGCGCGGCGATTGCTCGCTTCGCAACCGAATTTTTAAATCGGTCAGCTCGATAAGAGAAATCGATCCTCTTATCGAGCATAGGAGGTACGAGGAATCTCGCTCTATTCATTAATACAGTCCGCTAAAATACCTGCGAGCGGTAGCTACTCGCAGGTAGTACGTCGATAACACGAGTATTCGTGTTAAATCAGTATTTTCTATATTACAGAGAATAAGCGGGAGCAGGAATCCGACGGCACCACCGCAGAGCGAGAGCCGGGTCGCCGTCAAGCTCTTTCTATTTTTCTATATTTTCTATTTCAAAGTTTATATTTTGTATGTGTGCTGGGTTTTAATCAAAATAAATTGGGGTTCTTTTTTTTTGTAAAACCTTGCGTAATTTATTAAAATACCCGTTTCTCCTCCGGACTCCTAGTTAGGGCCACCTATCCCTAATAATAGTATTTAGTAATTGTTAAAATTCCAATACTTTTTCATTGTTTTTATGGAAGGGTTGATTCAAGGAAATATGTATATCAGGTATAACTCGCATATATTTTATAATGACAAATAACGGTTTCAGTTCAATAATAATGCTTTTATTTTTCAAAATACGGTGCTTTGTGGTAACATATCAATATAATTAAGAATAACGCCAATATTATAATAGACTATGTGCAATGCAGTGCAGTTTAAAATTATACAAGTATACAATGAGCATTCGAGCGTCACATTTACATTATACACAAATGCGATTGTTTGGAGAGGACCGAGTCTCAAGCGAGTGGTATTGAAATTTCGACGGCGGACACGAAAATAATATTAAATGCCTGCGTAAGTTATTGTGCAAAGGATTTTCGAGCGTTTAACGCAATAACTGGTGCAAGCTTTACATTTATTACAAATTGTTGTGAATACGACTCGCAAATACGGAAATATTTGTGTATCAAATCTACTGCTACATCCGACGACAGTTTCGAATCATATTGTAAGAAAAGCGGAAACACTTCGCTCTGAAATTCTGCCAGAAGTAGCAGAAGCAGTAGAAAATGGACAGTGTGCTGCAACCATGGACTTTTGGACAAATAATCACACGAAGACAACATTCTACACAATAACAGCGCACTATTTGAAGGACTGGAAGCTGGTGAACAGGATTTTGTTCACAATGGAATTTCCGGAGCATAGGAAGACGGTGGACAACATAAAGCGAGAATTGGTTACAAGATTTGCAGAATTGGGAATTTCACCAAGGATAATGAAGAAAATCACATTTACGACGGATCAAGGAAGTAACATAGTTAAAGCGTTGAAGGACAATGGAAATGAGCCAATCAATTGCGCAGCGCATCTTATCAATTGCGCGTTGAAACATGGATTCAAAGAGGACGAGACCGAAGAACTCACACAAGTAACGTGCCTTCTGGAGCAAACGAAAAATATCGTCGCGTACATGAAGCGGACGGGTTATGTGTTTCGTTTGCCGTTAACGTTACATCAAAAAACAGAAGTCAGATGGAATTCGAAAATAAAAATGGTACGCTCAGTCGTAGAGCAATTTACAAATATTCGCCAAATATTAGAAGAAGTAGACCAAGCTGAACGAATAGAAGAATATAATCTACAACAGGCTGAGGGATTAAATGAATTTTTACAGCCGTTTGAAGAGGCTATTGTAGTTCTACAGGTAGAAAAATCTCCGACGCTACATTTAGTACCGCTCTAGTTGCATCAATTATTATTGCATTGTACAATACAGAACACGGACTCCAATGCAATTGAAATAATAAAAGAGAAGATTGCAGAATACTTAAGAAAAAAATTCATGTTGCATAAGTATCAAAACGCACCACTCTACACACACTCTTCACACATCCGTCAATCACCCGATAACACCACACACCGTTGCTGCCAACCGGACGCGTGGAACCCTAACGGCTCGCGGGTGGCCCTTGCGAATCGACG